TCCATAACCTCTCCCTCTAAAACACTTGGGTACCCCTTGGGGCACACCCCAAGTATCTCACCCTAAGCCTTATAAACCCTTTCAAAACTTCCCACCAAATCAATGTGGGACAAGCCAATTTACAACCTTAAAGAATTTCCACCAAAACTCCATTTCCATGGAGCACACTTTGGCTTCAATTTCATGTGGTTTATGAACTTGTTCAACCACATTAGCCTTGGACTCAATGGGATTTTTCCCATTCCTCTTTTCAGCCTTTCGGTTATCTTCTTCAATTCTTAATCTTACAATCAATTCATCCATAGTCATCTCTTTGCGTTTATGTTTTAAATAATTTTTGAAATCTTTCCAAGCCGGTGGTAACTTTTCCACTAAAGCAGCGACTTGGAATGACTCGCTAACAGCCTCTTTCCACAAAGGTGCTTCAAGACCTGTAAAAGATTTATCATTTTTATATAATTTTATCTTTGGTGGGTAGAAATAATTTTTAAAAATTCAAAAATAACTTTTCGCTATTTATTTTTGTCAAACTAGCTTATATTTTATCAAATTGACGACTTTACCCTTCAAATAGAGCATTTTTTGTTTGCAAAAGAAACGGTGCCTTCAATTGTCCTTATTTAGAACAAAATTCAAAATTCTGGGTCAAATATATTATAATTAAAAGGTCAGGGATCAACGTGACACAAGCCTCAAACTACAGGGACCGTTTGTGTAACTCGCCCAAAAAAATATTCTCAAAGAAAGCACAAAAGAGGATCTATGAATATATCAAGACGCAAAGCACAAGAGTTTGACAATAAGGCAAGTCTGACACAAATGCATAGGCTACATCCATAAAGAGGGTAAGCAACAATCAAACCACCGATGAAAACCTAGCCACAACCAAGCACCAAACGAACAAAACAAAAAACCAAAAAAACAAAAAAAAGAAAGAAAGAAGACAACCTTCAGACCCCAAGTAATAGAAAGGCAACGGCAGAACCAGCAACCAAAGGCTGATCTGGCAGAGATGATGTAGCACTTCGTACTTCTTGGTACAATGGAATTATATTTGATTCTTTGATTTTCATAATTGAGAACTTTCTTAGTCGATATTTGAGCCTTGGTTGAGGCGTTACCCATAATGGTTGGGTGAGATTGGATAAAAAAAACTCCAAATTTAAATGGGTGTTCCTAAGTAGTTTTCATTCTTTTATCATTTTCTCTCTCCACACTTTTGAATCTTGATGTGAGGCTAGAACCATTGTAAAGCTTATTTCTGAAGCTTCAATTTGGTCACAAGAACGACTCAAAATGGAGTCTGAATGAAAAAGTTATGCCTATTCGAAATTTGTGAATCTGTGTTGTGTGCATAGTTTGCTCGAGCGCAAGCTTCACTACTCGTGCCGACATACATACCACTCTTTGTTAATACAAATTTATCAGACTCAAATACAAGCCTAAAACCATTTTTACTTAACAAAGACCCAGAAACTAAATTCTTCCGGATGTCAGGTAGATGTAGTACGTTGTTGAGGGTCAGTTCTTTCCCTGATGTCATCTTCAAGATCACTTTCCCTTGTCCAGCCACAGTAGAAGTAGAATCATCCTTGATAAATTTATCAAGAATTTTCTCAATATAATGAGATTGAGATAATGCATATCCGTCAGATGTTTTAGTAATTTTCATTCCTAATATAACATCTGTGACCCCCATATCTTTCATATCAAATCTTTTGTTAAGCATTTGCTTAGTTGATTTGATCATGTTTTGACTGCTTCCAATGATAAGCATGTCATCCACATAAAGACAAACTATGACATATCCTTGGTCAGTGTTTTTAACATAGACGCATTTGTCACATTCGTTTATCTTAAACCCATTACTAAGCATTGCATGATCAAATTTTTTCATGCCACTGCTTAGGTGCTTTGTTTTAATCCATAAAGGGATTTTACAAGTTGACAAACTTTCTTTTCTTGCCCTGATACTACAAACCCTTCGGGTTGTTCCATATAGATCTCTTCATTTAGATCACCGTTTAAGAAAGCTGTCTTAACATCCATTTGATGTATTTCTAAATTAAACAACGCTGCTATAGCAATAAGCATGCGAATGGATGTTATTCTTGTCACAGGGGAATATGTGTCAAAATAATCCAGACCTTCCTTTTATCTGTAACGTTTAACTACAAGTCTTGCTTTATACTTGTCAATTGAACCATCTGCTTTCATTTTTCTCTTGAATATCCATTTATATCAATCTGAATTTTTTCATAAATGATCAACACGTTATGAGGATTCAAATAATTGAGGTGCGACTCGTGGTCGATATCACGAGTCCAAATACTACATTCAGCTCACTATGAACTTGAGACAAATTGAATCCTAATTTATAAGACTAATAGTTATTTAGACTTTAGAATGTCAAATTAAATTGCGAGATATTTCATAATTCATCATCGTCTGTCATGGTTGTTAATGAGGCTTGTATTTTTTTAGTCATGAAAAAGGGACAAGAAAAGGGATTTCAATGACTCTAAAGTGTTGAGTTTGGCTAATATCTTAAGATTTGGTGGTTTTTCACTGTACCAATGTCTCTTGATCAGTGAGACCAATTAAAATTTTGATTGCTCATATTGAATTGAAATTTATTTCTCATAAAAGCTAAAACAATAGCTTCCTTAAATTAATAATATTGGCTAAAATAAAAAGATTTTAAAAAGCATTCATTAATTTCCTCACATTTATTGAGTTCAAATTTCTAATTTGATTAGAGGTAAGTTGAAGGCAAGGTGGTCCAAAAAAAAATTATTTTTGCAACCAAATGTACTAAGATTGCAGGAAAATTAATGGATTGTACCACTTAATTGTGGAAATATTTTGTACCAATCAAATATCATGACACAACAAGAAAGACACAAGAATTTAGTTGCCATTAAATTATAAGATTTTACATTGATTATTGTCTTTTCAAATTAAATACGAACATTATTTTCTAAATAATTTGTTCTGACGATGACAATAATCACAATAATTTTAGAAATTTCAATTGCTTGTACGATTTTGAAATATAATATAGCAACTTTGCATGTGCTAATTTAACAAACATAAATCTTTACAAAATTCAAAATTAAAGTATAGTCTTATCTTTTGTAAATCCATTTGTAGCTTTCACGACTCATTCATCAACTTTTCATCTGAAAGTTGAACTGAAATCTCTCCACCTTCCATTGTCATGGTCCCATTTTGGGTAGACTTTGATTGTTAATATTCTATACATTACAAAATGGCACCATGCCAAAAATTAAACATTCAGTTGGCCCCAATAACATATCCAACTTCATTTTTAAAATTTTTGTTTTATGTGGGGGCACACCTCTTTCTCTTTTTTTTTTTTTTTTTTGTTTTATGTGGGGGCACACCTCTTTGTCTTTTTTTTTTTTTTAAAACATGGGAAACAATATATTTATAAAACAAAAATAGGACAGAAATAAGACCCCAAAGGGTCATCCCAACCAAACAATAAAAGAAAAAAAACAACAACAAAAAACAAATCTGCCAAAAAAATAGTTACGTGCCAGGGAAAACTTTCAATCTGCTCAAAGATGTGGTTTAGGAAGCAAAATCTGCTTGAAAGTCCACCGTCCCTGTCGACAACATCCCCATCGCTGCTGCCCAACACCATCGCCACTGTCGCCGAAGAAGGAAGAACACCCACAATGGTATGGGAGAAGGGTTTAGAGAGGAAGTAACCATTGTGTGTGTCGAAAAACCAAAAATCTATGCCGAAATCATAGGAGAAAACATTCAAAACTCCTATTTCGAACATAAAAAGTCTAGATCTACACTTGAAAACTGTAGATCCATACTCCAAGAGTGTAGATCTTCATTTTGGAAGTAGAAAAAAGATCGCCGAAAAGTCGCCGGAGCTTGGTCGGAGCTTCGCCGGGAATCACCAAGCTCTATGTGGACTCACACAAATACTCTCTTTATCATTGTATTCATGTTCCCATTCACTTGGTTATATATATATCTTATTTATTGATATGACACTAATCACATTCTTGAAGTGATCTTGTTTTAGATTCTAAACTCTCACCCTTCGTTATGAAAAATGCTAAAAACATCCCTTAAAATTATTGTTAGTATTGAAATATATAAAATCATTTTGAGATATGTGAAGAATGTAATGAAATTATAAATATTTTGGCATTTAACACTTTTTATTGATAACCCTTAAAATTGTCATTAGCAAAACCCTTTGTTTATTACTTAATACATCAAACTTTTCATAATAATTGATATGGCACCTATACCATTAGACTTATTTCATATTCTAAAGTTCTTTTATTATTATATAAGCCAAAAAAATTATAAAATAACAATATCATGTGCACAAAATTAGAACACAAAATACGCACAAAAAATACATTGTATACGTGAGATTTATTTTAAATAAGTCTCATCACACTTGAGATAAATTTCAACTACACAATGCATTTTCTATGCACATTTTACTTAAATTGTGTACACTCTTAACATTTTTATCGATAAAATTTGTTAATTAGAACATTTTTCAAAAAAGATGGGTGATATTGTCAACAACATCAATTGAAAATGTCTAAAGTGGATCTGACCTGTCCTTTAGTTCACATGCTAGAGAGTTTCATCCAATCACCAATTTGGGCTACTTTAATCAACTTTAAACTAGTAAAAAAACCACTACATTCACTTCACCTAGGATCAGTACAAGTCTCTCATAATGTAATCAAGCAATCTAAATGCCTGATTTCTTAGAGAAAAGAGACCTATGCCAATGGTACCCACATTATCTATACTTATGAAAAACAGAAGCATCTTGAAAACAATAGTAGGCAATAAATATTTGTTGTCCTTTTTGCTTTGGAGCACCAGTCATAAAAAAATAAAAAATAAAAAAATGTAGGTATGATATGATGGGTTTCCTTTTGAATGTCCACCATTTAAAAAAAAAAATAAATAAATCATCAAAAGCCTATGATACAACACCTACATAACAGCTATTATAGAAATGAAAATCCATTAAGTTTTCGGCACTACTTGAAAATGGGACTTTTGCCCTGATTATTTGTTTAACACTACAAAGGCAAAACAAACAGTGATGCTACCGACACTGCATATTTCACTCCATTTCTCACACCCCAGTCACAAACATTGGCGGTCCCACTCATGCATGTGTTGGACCCACAATGTTTGTGAATAGGATGTGAAATATGCGGTGCCTCTAGAGTTATTCCGAAACAAAAGCATAAAAAGGACTAATGTCACTGCCAACATAATCACAGAAACACACTTCATCATGCACTCCCACCCGCTTGTTTCTGAGCTGCTTCCCGCATTACTGCTTTGACATAAATCTCATAGCAACATCCTGAAGCGAAAAAAGCATAAGAAAAGCTCAATGAACTTTCAAGTAAAGCAAAGCAAGACTGCAACCTATCATTGTGATGCAGGAAACATGGATACTTCTTGTCAATTTAACTAGTCATATTAATTTGCAATTAAATATACAAGCCAGATCCTTTAGAGAGTAAAGGAGAAACAAGCAATTTTAATCAATCACAAAGTTAGCAGTGCCACGGTTGCAGGGGACAGTAAGGAAAAAAATGATATGATTATGATTTAATCACATGGAATTGATTGGAAATACAGGTTTCACGGGCACGAACTGTACTCTTATTGTCCCTCTCCAAAACCGAAGAAAGATGTGGATAAAATGAGTTATTCTGTAAATTTTGGAAAATTTCTACTTGTATGGTATCAAGTTTGTTTTGCTATTGATTATGCTTACTCATGCTGGTTAAAGCTCAAAGTTTTCAAGCTATTCGAGAACTAAAAAACTTTAAATTAAATGGGCCTATGGTACAAGTGTCTAAACCCTCTACTATCAGACACAACATGCCGACTGCCAAACGTGCCTGAGAGAGAAGAAATATCCCTCAAACCATTAGAAACCATAAGTGTATGTATAGAAATTTGTTGTGTCATATAGATATTCTGCAATGATGTAGATATTCTATTGCCCTAGGGCATACATAAGAGAAGTCAACTACTTCTAACAATTCAATAATACACCAGCATCGTCAGAATTAGAGATTAGATGAATTTAACACCTAAATGTGCACCTACACTCTATAAGTGCACCGTATTTTGTTATACAGCTCTTGATAACAAGGTTCTGATTTTTTGAATTGATATCAATTTCAGTCCCACCCAAAGAACATATATCAAATCTCAGGACTAGGGAGTTGATCAAGAATTAGAAAGGAAAGGAAATGAAGACAAGAAGGCTGACCAGTGACGACAACAAAAAAGTTCTAAATCATATTTTTAAATATTTAACTAGAAAAAAAAAAATTGTAATATTTCCTTTCTGAGTAATCAGCAAATCAATATGGAAAATTTGTAAAATTAACTAATTTAACCAAGTCTTAAGTAACAAATCATCAAACTATCAAAGCTACGACTGGTCAAAAGAAATTTTTGTTATTCTTCAGCTTTACCAAAGCAAAAACGCTTAAAAGTTTTATTTCCTGAATCCTGGCATCTGGATACAATTATTTCTTTTAGTTTTCTTAGAACAGCTGTACATGAAAAAACTAATAAAACCAGTGAATCCAACTTACAGAAATTACATTAGCTTACCAGCTACAACAACAATTGTGAGAACATCTCCAACTCTTTTGAGTCGCCACACACTTTTCTTATGTGATTTGAACTGCTTTAATGATGGATCATCTGCCAATAGCTGCAAGGTAATGAGATAAGTTCGAGATGATCCACTAGAAATCTTTGTGAAATCAGAGTAATAAGAACAAAATTCGCACATAAATTCAAAGGTTTAAATGACAATGATTTCTCCAAAAGTCAAAAATTAATCCATCATATTGTGATATATAAACCAAAAGCAAAATGCAAAATCAGGAATCATTTAAAATTCTATATTTGAAAACAGATACTAATACATATAGCTTGGGAAGCAACTGCTATAAATTTTTTCTTTTTTGATCCACACAAATATATATATATATATATATATACATTAAAAGGAAAAAAGAATAGAGAACTATAAAAATAAAAAAAAATAAAAAGGGAAAAGAAAAGAAAAAAAGATGAAAAAACAATTTCACAATCAACACAAGGCTCTCCAATCCCTAAAATTTTTTTATTTTTTTTAAAAAAAAATAAGAGGAAGCCCTCTGAAAGGAGCCGTGGACACCCAAGGAGAGGCCAAAAAACAAATCATTTCCCAAATGCTTTCAAGATCTTTCTGCCCTTCAAAAACTATAGTGTTCCTTTCAATCTGTGAGACCCAAAGAACTGCACTAATCACACATCTGAAAAGAGCCCGAGCCTTGCCATTTGATTTAAAGCCTCTAAGGTCAATGCGAAGTAAATGCTCACAAGAGGATGGAATAACCTAATCAACCACTACCAAATAAAAGACTCTCCACCAAAAAGAAGCAGTCGTAGGACTGTGGGCAAGTGAGGTTAGAGGCAGTTGGTTGCTGACCTCAGGGAAGATGGTGGGCACTTTAACGGCCCGAGATCACCGGAGGTGGAGGAGAAGAAGAAGACTAAAGCAAGCTCAGAGATGATAGGGGTGGCAATGAGAGACTTTGAACATTTTTGTGATAAATATGTTGTGGATACTGTTGTTATGCTTTAGGCAGCATTTATGATAACCATTATATGGACTCCAGGAGTATTGGAGCCCAAGCAACCCACAGACAGGTGGCAAGTTCTTAACTCAACAAGATGATATCAACCCTACTAGATGTGTCCTATGATTTAGGTCCTTGGAAAGGTTGCATCATAGGGGTTCCAGGTGCAGATATGATGTCTTGGAAGGTGTATTATATATGCATCAGATGTGAATGTAATGTCAACGTCTCTTTTCTCTAAGCTTGGTCAAGATGCAACTGTCACTACAGAGAGACTGTTACATGACCCCGAGGTCTTAGCCTCTAATCCACAATCCTTCAATGATCCCAAGCTGGAGTGCCTAGAACCTGCTCCCAACCTAGGCTGCCTAGTGGGTGAGTACATGAGTGAGCCGGAGACTCATCCTAAGCAGCCAAGTGAACATAGGTGAGGCAAGGGTCTAACTATATTGCCATTGAGCTAGGGTAAGTAGGCAAATAATAGACTTTTATTATGAGTCATAAAGGACTATAGAGAGCTCTAGGTGAGCCGTAAGTCTGCTTCATACTTGGTGGTGTGCATGTCCCTGCTTAGGCTAGACATACAACCCCAATTCATCATGGTGCCTCAGAGGTCTGCTATGTAGATGTGTGCTGGTGATGAGTGACGCTTGTAGGGCTTGCCACATGACAAGCACAATATAGATACCCGCATTAATGCCCCCTTGTACAAATGCTCTTAGAAGAGTGTTTGTACATACTCATGTAAAAAAATGTCAAAAATGTCAACTCATGCAAATAATAAAATGTGACTTTTTGGATACAAGGGAGATTTTCAATTACTCATCAGGAATATACATTTCTAATTTTCATTTGGCATGAGCTGGCCCGACGAAGCTGTGGGTTTGTTGGCAGTGACGTCATTTCGCAAGATCTCCACAACTTCACAGGAGATCTCGACTTCATTCCACAAGCACCATATTCCTCATGTCATTCTTTCCAAGCCTTTGGAAGTGGACTCATGGCTTTGGCATTAGGGTAGCCCATGATTTGGCTCATGAACTCAGCCTCATTTCCTTTTTTTTTTTTTGTGTTTGTGACGATGACGACGTGGAAGTGCCCAAAAGAATGAAGATGCACGTAGTGGTGGAGGAAGGGAGGGTAGGCAACACCTCCGTGGACGTAGGCCGGTTTGCCGAACCACGTTAAAACTCTTGTGTTTTTGCTTGTGAGTGTCCCCTGGTGTGCCCACGATCCGCAACATTTGGAAGTGGACTCATGGCTTTGGCATTAGGGTAGCCCATGATTTGGTTCATGAACTCAGCCTCATTTCCTCCTTTTTTTGTGTTTGTGACGATGACGACGTGGAAGTGCCCAAAAGAATGAAGATGCACGTAGTGGTGGAGGAAGGGAGGGTAGGCAACACCTTCGGTGTTGAAGAAGAGAATGGTGAGCGGAGTGTGCGGAGGTTGCGCGAAGCGCTCTTTTCCTCCAAGTTGAGGCTTGCGAAGTCCTCCATGTTCTACCCAAGTCCCAAATCTTCATTTGGATTCTCCAAAGGTGCTGGTATAATGGAAACATGGTGGTCTAGGCATCTAGCACCGGTCTTTGGGAGAGGATGTTGATGCGGATCCATTCGTAGTGTGGAATTAGCACTTGCATTGCCTGGCATGCGGACCCCTACCAAGTGAAGTTGGTTTCTTGGTTGAACAAGAAACAAGTGTAGGGTGGCGGTATCATGTGGATGGCCGGGTTTGTTAATTCCCAATACCATTCCCTGATTGCACCTTAAAACTCTTCTCGTATTTCCATGACGGTCATGTGGATGGCTGGGTTTGTTAATTCCCAATACCATTCCCTGATTGCACCTTAAAACTCTTCTCGTATTTCCATGGCGGTGTTTGGGGATACTGGGTGCTGAACCCAGAGGGAATCGAAGAGCAAGCACTGGAATCGCCATGGGGGCATGGCCAGCATTCTTCGAAAGTATTCGCACACTAGGCGACAGTGAGTTGGATTGGAGCTCGAAGGTCTGGAGTTAGGAGCTCTGTTGCTAACTAGTCACCAAATAGTGTTAGGTCGCTGTCTTCGTCCTTCGGAAGACATTGTTGAGAAGATGCTTTGTTACAGTTGGGAGGAGAGTGCTGGCAATGGAGTTGGGGTTTGCATGAGTTTTTGATTGTATGTTCTGCATTAGGGCTTTACTTTCTTACAAAGAGATTGCATCGGGAAAGAGGAGATGAGTTTATTAACTTTTGCAGGTTTATGGAGAAGTTAGGAAGGAGCGATTGATGGAGAGGACAACTTACTGATTCTATTCATAGCTACTGGTTTGGAGCGACCAATAGTAGCTACTGATTTGGAGCTACTCACGGTAGCTGCTAAGTTTGTAACTTCTCATGATAGCTACTAAGTTTGTAGATGTTGGTAGCTTCAGCCAATGAATAAAGTGACTATAGAGAGTTTAAGGTCTGTCAACACTTTTTGTTGTCTCGAGGCCTCTTCAGCCATGAGTGGTCACATCTGTTTTTAATGTATTGGAGGATTTTTTTGATTAATTAAGGATTCTACTTTGGGGATGCACAATCTCAATTTTCTATGTATATATATATACAGTGTCTTGAAAAGCGCATCTAAGCGCACGCCTAAGCTCGAGGGGCAGCTCTACGCCTCATGCATGACAAGGCGAGGCGAGGTGACGTAGAGGAGGCGCAATCAAGGCGATGAGGCGAGCACCTTTTGCGTTTCGCGTTTCTTCCGCTCCAACAGCCCATCTAGTTTTCTATGTGGATACCCACATGGAATAAAATCTCATTTACAATATAAAATGATCAAAACGTAGGGCAAAAACATTAAAAAATGCCCTAGTAGAGAAGAAAAAGATGACAACGAGGAAGGTTCGACTCCTCTTCTCGTCTCCTCTGGTACGACTCTTCCTCTCTTCTCTCCCTGGCTCTTTTCTCTGGTTCTTGTCTCTCTGGTTCCTCTCTTCTCTCTCTAGTTCTTCTCTCTTTGGTTCTTCTCTTCTCTGGTTCTTCCATGCCTCTGTTCTACTCCTTTTTTTTTTGCTTTATTATTCTCTTCTCTGGTTCAACTCTTCTTCCCTTCTCTCTCCTCCTCTTCTTCTCTTCTCTGGTTTTCTTCTCCTCCTCTTCTTCTCTTCTCTGGTTTTCTTCTCTGTCTCTGTTCTACTCAGTTTTTTTCTGTTCTACTCTGTTTTTTTTTTTTTTTGCTTTACTTTTTTGGTCTTCTTCTCTTCTCTAGTCTTCTTCTCTCTCTTCTCTTCTCTTCTTTGGTCTTCTTCTCTTGCTCTCTATTTTTTTTTCTCCGTTGTTCTTCTTCTCTATTTCTCCTCAGTTTTTCCCCTCCTCTGTTCTACTTTGTTTTTCTTCTACTCTGTTATCTCTCTGTTTTTTTTCCCTGTCAAAAAAAAAAAAAAAGAATAAAATGAACACTGAATCACTACTTATTGTCTCAATAGGTACATACATAAGGTTTTTGATGGATGTGAGTGTGATACTTTATACTTTTTGTTGGATATTATATTTTTAATATACTACATATATTTGTTATGTTAAAAAGTTTGCCTACTTTATAATTTTGCTTTGCTTTTACTACGTGCGCCTCGCTTTGGTGAGGCACGCGCCACGCCACGCCTCGCCTCGCCTTGTGCCTCGCACTTAGGCTATAGGAAACCTTATCGCCTCAGTGTGCCTGAAGCCTTTTAAAACACTATATATATATTTGAGAACTGTATTCGAATTGTATTTTCAGTTGTTGGAACTCATCGTTTTGCTTGAATGTTGCATTTTTGCGACAATAAAAATATATATATATATATTCTGTGGGACCTTATATTTTTGCATAAATATATATTCTCTATATATTTTGAATCTGATCAAATAGAAGCTTTGTGTTTTCTGTTTAGTTCCCTCGTCTTCCCCTTTTACCCATTATACTTCGCTACCCGCATTGTACTTTTGTTGTATACCCCTTGGCAAGTGATTTGAACTTTTCTCCATTATGAGTTTTTATGTTCTCTCTCTAAGTTTGGTTTCGTCAAGTTGTGTTAAAGCTTTTAGAGAGAAGACGGAGGGGAGAAAGA